ACTGTAATCTTATTTACAGGCTTCAAAATTTGTTTGAGCCAATAATTCCTGGTGATTTTCGTTCCTATCTCAGAAAGAATCGCGTTTTCCCAGGCTCCAGCACTAAATAACTCACCTCGTACGACGCTCCAAGAAAATCCAGAGAAAAAAAGATACGATTACGATATGAAACACGAACGATTTATTACAAACCGACAGCGAGCCACATAATGGTGGGTAGAAAACGTATTCAACACGATCCATCAGCAACAATTTGCGCGCGTCGTTCGCAGAGTATCTATACATATGTATATTTATGTACGTACGCAAGTATAAAAACGTGAATTCCGCGTGACGAGGCGCGCGCATTTCTTCCCGCCCTGCCGCCGCATAGAGCGAGTCGATTTTTATCTAGAGAGAACAAAAAAAAACACAAAGCAAATTTAAAAAATAAGCGTGAGAGGAGAAAAAGAACAGCGTAGAATAAAACGCGAGTATAACATCGCGAGAACGCTTCATACTTTTCATTCGTACGGCCTACTGTACGCGCGTTTAGACTGTATAAATGTACCATAGCAATAATTAACGAAGGACTGTAAATATATTATACGACGTACGTTGGCGACGAAAGTATCCGGTGTTTTTCTTCGTTTCTCTTCTCGCGAGCGTGCAAGAGAGAGGTGCGAGAGAGTACGTACACTGCAGGGAGTGCCGATCTCGTCGTTTTTTGTAAATGAACGCGACCCGCCTGTCGCGTATCGTGTACGCGTGCGTGAATGTTTATGTGTCGCTTACGTGTACACCAGACTTCGAAATTAATGTCCCTAAAATCGAATCGAGAGAGCGGTTTGTTAATTATTATCATTACTGTGTAATTGTCATCGTTCAATAGTCAACAGCAGATCGTGTAGGTTCCCGAGGAGTAATTGCAGAAATAATAACGACCTTTTTTGGTGATCAAGCGGCACCGTTTAAGAGATAACGTGAACATGTTTCGTAGGTCAGTGACAGTTACTCGATAACTTTTTAATTGTGACACTTGTTCATGGAAATTGGAAATAATTTACTAATTCTTTGTTTATTTCAATTGTAATTATAGCAAAATGTTTATGGAGGAACATTTGATTTTGTATGAAAGATGGTTAAGTAATGTGAGAAAAATAACTGTGAGATTAGAAATGAATTCTCTTCGTCACAATTGGAAAAAAGATGGTTGGACTCGATCGAGTCCTGTCACTGGCCCGACTAAATGTTATTGGTCACCCCGATTCGCTTGAATTTCCGATTAATCGTATCCGTTACATTCGAATCGTGTCCAGGATAATAGCCATCGTCGAGAAACGTGACGGCGTCGATATTCCACGGAATTGACCGT